CGACCGAAGAACCACTCAGGACGAAAGCTACGTTTTTCAACTAAGCTTTCTCAGACAATTATGCTTTATATCGAATAAGGGGTGATTATAAATGTTGAATAGGTAAGGATGTAAAACATTTGCCCTGAGGGACTAATGAGAAACCAGTCTCCTTGCAGCGTATTGAACCTGGGACTTCTCGGATACGAAGCTGGAACTCACGTCCAGCCACCTAGCGTCTTTTAATTGTCATCATGTGGGATGTAGACGTTTTGAACTCATTCTCGCTCGATTTATGTTACACTGCATGTTCATTTGTGGCTCGCAGGTGTCACGCATGAACAAAACTCATCTCAGTAATGTCTTTTCAAGGGCGTGTTTACGATGTCTTCATGTTCAATGGGGCACTGCAGTATCGAAGATTCTGCCCTGAATGGTAACTGTGACTTCGAAGTTCAATGTCTTCATTTCATTTCACTGTGTATTTACTATCTATTACAGCAGTTAAATAATTCCGACAGTTAATAGCATACTTCTTGTGCTGTGAACGAAATATTTCTCTTAGAAGCTCCTGCCACTTCAGTTTATTGTAACGGATGTTGGTGAAAATGTAGGCCTACGTCTCTATCCCAACTTCGCTTTCTTTCCTTTGGAACTTAAAGTTATCTGATTTTGTCATTTCGCCTAAAACAAACTAGTTAGGTCACTTCCACTATGCGTACGCAAGAGGCATTAATGCTAAATTAAATATAGCACGGAAGGATTTAAATAATCGATCTCTTGAGTATCGCACAACTCTGTAGTTGAGAAGCATGTGACGTGATGATACCAGCTCCTGTTTATTTTTATGCTTTGAGGCTAAAGCAGTGTCTCGCTTTGTTGTTATCTGATACGAGAAGATATTTTAGTTTCGTAATATGTATATTTTTTATATTGCTCGTTAATATGGACCTTTGTGAAGTGGTTTGAAGTAGTAGGTCATGTTCGATTACCCTCTCGATGTTGACGTCAGTGACTGGTCATAGAAACTTGCCTCTGAAGTCATGCGCTCTTACAGTGGATAGATTTGGTAGGGGTGTGAAGGTGGGGTTTGAGGGGTGGAAGTGTACTGCGGTGTACATAGGAGAGAGGTGGAGCTACGGCCAGGACCGGGGCTCGATTCCTGCCCACACCCCCTTTCCTCTCGCTCCTCTCGATCCATTCACAGCGCCCCGCATAGCGTGCAGCCGTTGTGGCGTTATTTCCCCTCACCCGGGCGAGAGAGACAGAGAGTTCATTGAGAAAAACCGGTCTGGGTCACCTACTGTTTTCATTCATAAAGTGTTCTCTCCAAAAAACTGAAAGAAGCCGTTGTCCGCAAAATCTCCTTCGCATGACAGATATAAATGGACTGCAGCATTGTACACACACACACACACACACACTGCATTCACTGTGATATAACTTAAGCATGTCACAGCGGGCGCATCTCTTCGATATGTCATATGAAGTATGACTGTCTATGAATGTATTCTGTCCGTCCGTCCGTCCGTCCGTCCATGTATCATCGTGTGTTGACTTCAGAAAAGGAAAGCGAAATGAGGTATTTCTTTATAGTCATTTATACACAATCGGTAACTTGTCCTGTTGAAAAGAAGTTGAGATGAACTCGAAAAGATTTTTCCCGCTTCTTGTTGAAAATTCGTGTAAAGTCAAAATAATTGTACTACGTTTTGTGACTGTGTTTCGTGCAGAATGTTACTCATTAAAGTTTCATGATATGAAATGAAATGGATGTAATTAACGTAAAATAAATGTATAATATATCGTTTCTGCTGGAAACTTGCATAAGTACCGTGTTTGGCCCGTGTTTTTGTTAATATAAACTTCGCTGACATAATGAACTTTGTTATTTATTATACTGCACATGTGTGATCTGAAGCTTTCACGGCGACCAAGTGTAATGAATTCTTTTCAGGCTGTCTGCCGTGTCAGATGATTTAATTAATGGCTGATAGCCCTAGAAGAATTCGTTATAATGCACACATTTAACTAACTCCTTCAGTACTTGTAATTGCGTTTGTGTTAAATCCATCACCAAAATGCTTCTTTATTGAGCTTGATAAAACAGAGTGAATCAGAAGTCACGTGTTTCACCTAGTGCGTGTGTGTGTGTACAGGAACTTTTGAACCACCATGTAGAGTAAGAGGGAATATTAACCTCTTATCTGCCTTGTGGAAGTTAGAGAACTGCAAAAAATAGCCACTGAATTATTATTTCATTATTATCGTCGGGTTTTAAAACGAAATGTGTCGTAACACATCTTATTATGTAATCATTTGCCACCGGTGGCGCTGCGTAGTGATATATTTTATAGATACAAAGTAGGACGCTATGTGTTTTATATCGTGGGCCTGTGTGACCTATTGGTGACCACTGTGGATAGACACGGCCGAAGGAAGGAAGGAAAAGTGAGAATAATGTTTTCTCTGACAACACAGGTAAATATTTCATGTAATTTGTTTAATCATGGGTTAACGTTATTGAAAATTTATGGGATCATATCGGTAGTACAGATATAAAATTTTTAACCTTCCCTGACAGAGTCATGTAATGGTTCAGGCTCCCTGTTTTACTAGAACATTGACTCGAGCACCATGCGATGACACCCGCCCTGATGGCACACATTATGAATTACTTCCTGTTTGTTTTATATATCCCTTGAGACCATATAGTCACGAAACGTACCCTTATCTTGTTATAAAATGACAGTGTTAAACATGTCACCATGTGAATGTCAAAGGATAATGTGTTTTTCACCTGCTTCGACTATACACAGTATGTTAATAAAGTATCCTCGATCTCAAAGTAGGCATACATACATACACTTGCGTTCTTTGAATACGCGTAAGTGTAAGACACATTTGTAAGTTAGAAAATGGCTTCGTTCCTGCACGAATATTTTCAGAACTGAAGTTGTCATTGAAAAATTGAATACTTTTTAATAATATGTAAGACGTGAGAAGGACTTTTATTTGCCGTAATGTTGGTACTTCTAAAATTGCCACCGAAAATCGCTTATATTAAATTACGTTGTTTCACCATTGCTTTTTTGCACATCTAAACATCGATAAACAACAGAGCGCTACAATGAAAGCAAGATTTGTAAAGGTTTGTTTAGGATAATTTGTAGAACGCAAGGAGAGTGGAGTCTTCATCTCGTTCTTGATTCTGTAGGTCGTGTATTTTATTAGACACCATAAAAATTAATCAAGCGGAGATTTCGGCTGCCAAGATGTAGGACGTCGACGACCAATCAAACGATTTTCGTGGTTGATTCAAGAAATCGTAACTTGGTCTAAATGTACAGGCACCGATCGAGCTGAAAGAAGATACAATAAAGGCGATGACCTAAAGGACCAAAGTACGTATAGGAAGTAAACTCCTGTCTCCGATTGTGGATGCTGTTAATTTCATACGAGAACACCCCAGATGATTCGGTGGGCAGTGAACTCTTGTTTTGAACGAACTAGACTGTGCAATGAAACCGTAGCGGACGTTTTGAACAGTTGCAAGACGTGTCTCATAAAATGTAGCACTGACTTCATCTGAATATTACTGTCGTTTAATTTTCCCTGCGTGTGCCTTGAAACCGCCATAACCCAGCAACGATTGTAAATACGATCATTGTCCTATTAGCTTTTTTTGCTCGAAATTATGTCCCGAATCAGTCCCCGATGTATTTCACATCGATTGTGAAACACTCTGTATATGTAGCTTTTTAGTTACACTGGAAAATAAAAAAGTTTCAGGCGTTAATGGCGTTGAGACCGATACTGAATCACGTGTGTCATAATTAAATGAGATGTGTAAGTTCTGATTGGTTGTTAATACTGTTGTTTCCTGTAGCACATTGAATGTAGCAAAGTGGCCATGAAATGTCGGCATTTGTTTAAAGACTATCAACTGGTCCTGGCTGATTGGATGGCGGAGGAAGCTGTCATGGTCTGTTTTAAGTTGCTGTCCCATTCTTGGCTGGGAGAATTCTGGCACATTTGCCAAAATTCGATCTTTGATTTTTATGTACCAATGGCGTCAGACTGTGCTGGTCGTTTTCCGACTAAGGTTTGAACCACTATCTTTTCTAATACGAAGAAAGAGTGCATGGGAAGTTTTAGCACCGCGGGCGATAGACTTGGTCACATTTGTTTCTTTATCTACTGCGAAACTTCCTAAGATGATTTGGGGTAGGGGTTATTTCTTTTAATGTAATGTGTTTCGTACTGAATCCCACGTCATAATACCCAAACCCATTTGGGATTTCAATCACGAAATTTAGCATTTATTTAATGCTACACGTCAGATGTAATTCCATCTGTGAGACATCTTTGGTGTGGAACGACACATTGTAGTTGATAGTACCTCTGTATCGTATTCAAAAGGAAACTGATTCGAATCCCAGTTGAGTCACCAGCTACCATTATTGAGAGTTCTTTTTTATTTTCCTTACTGGACTGTGTGTTAAAATATGCAATGTTCACATCCTTCATCATCTCTCACAATTTGTAACCATAAGCATTTTGGCGAACTTAACAGTTGAGTGTTTAACACTCATCTTTTGTATTTTGGTGGTCCCACCTTCTACTTATGTTCATATGTCTATTCTGAATGAGAATGTTGAAATTTGTCTTATTTCCTCAAAACTTGCGTGATTGTGCCTTAAAAGTAATGACCACTTCTCATAAATCATCCAGAATGATCCACCATTGAATGACGTCCAATTTATGCTGTTGGCAAGACCTCGTTGAATAAAGCGAGAAACAATAAGAAACTTATTTACCCCACCATTTTGCATTCATCGTCATAGATTGTCGTCCTTGTGTGTATGAAAATCACACACAACAATTAAAGTAAGCAAGAGTGTTTTTAATTGTATTTGTTTTCCGCTAAGAGAACTGTAGGCCTGCGTGTTGTAGTCAGGGGTAGATCTTGATATCTGAAGTGAAAATTGGACAGTTGGGTTGTTCTTTTATCATTCCAGACAAACACCGTTTGCCAATGGGGCGTCTGACTCTCCTGGTGAGATCCTTCAAAGGATTAGTGAAGGCAGAATTGATCTTGAGTCTGGAAATTGGGTTTCAGTGTCTACAGAAGCTAAGGTAAGTGCATTGTGACTTGATATGTGAATTGTATATACATTGAAACAGGTATATGATGTGAAGCTTTCACTGTGGCTTTCATTATAAAGTCTTCTCGGCTATCAGCCGTGTTAGTTGGTGATCAATCGCCGACGTTTCGAGGACAGAGATGGTCCTCGAAACGTCGGCGATTGATCACCATCTAACACGGCTGATAGCCCGAGAAGACTTTATTAACATTGAAACAGCTTTGCATGTCACGTACCTTCCTTCAACATTTGTCACAGTTTCTTTTATTGGTATTCACAATGACAGGGTTTCCAAAGTTTTGTGAGATGTCTGCCGAGTATGGTATTTATTTTTTCTGCAGTATACTAGTAGTATTTAAAAAAACATTTTTCGCCAGGGTTTTTCTTCACAGAAATAATCAAATTGTTTCTGAACATATATTTCTGTTGACTGAAACTTATGTTACCAGTCTTCCATAGGTATTTATTCACGAAATTCTTTCCTTGCATGTGAAACTTCGTGCATTGCAAAAAAAAGGTCATGAATGTTTTTTATTCATCATTTAACTTCCTAAAATTAAAGGATGTGATCAAAAATTAAACAGTATAGATATCTGCTGTTAAGGGATTTTGGGCCTTGCGACGGGCTGATCCCTCATCGAAGGAGTTTATAGATCGAGTAAATGAAAAGTTGGGACCCGCAGTGCTCAGGCACTTGAAGAACGGGTCGTTCTCAGTATCCAGTATGTGATAATATTTATGAATGTGTTTGTTGTTGTAACCATTGCTATGGTAATGTTGTTAGGGAATTTTGGGTTTTATGGAATAATATTTATCACTATGCGGGTTTATGTCTCGAGATTTGTTCCATTACTGTTGACTGGCAGCAACCAGATCACAGATGGAGAAATGGAGGAAGTCTTCAACTGGGCAGATAAACGTATTTTATATTATCGATATAAATAAGGACATTACGAAACAAAATATCTGAACTGTTGGATTCTTTCTGTCAGAACATAACCTAAAGGATTTGCATGAACAGAAAATCCCACTATTTGACCCAGCATGAACCGTAACAAACATGGCGACTTATTTCCTTAATTTCCCTTGAAAATCTTGTTCTCCTTGTCTTCTGACTCAGAATTCTATGTCTTTTGTGTTTCTTATTGGATACAGGCCAAGGAAATTATAAACGGTAGTGCTTCGAGTCTGATATTCTATCAATTACGAGATGACAGTAGTACATTGCAGTCTTAGTTTCAATAACCATAGCAAAGTAAATGCAGTACAGTGACTGGCTACAGACCGAACGACTGGGATTGTATCCCCAACAGGGGCAGAGAATTTTTCCTCTATTCTCTGCGTCCAGACCGGCTCTGGGGCTCACCCAGCCTCCTATCCAATGGGTACCGGGGTCTTTTCCCGGTGATAAAGGGCTGACCACTCACCCCCATCTAGTGCCGAGGTTAAGAATGAATAGGAGCTATACCACCTCTCCCCCCAAGCGCCTTCTTTTTTACTTCACTTTATAGCAAAGTAAATGCAGAGAACTGGAGGTAATGTGCATGGTCTGTGAATAATTTTAACAGGATCTGGTACAAAAGATGCTACACCTAGATCCAAACCGACGACCCACAGCTAGTCAGGTCCTCCAGCACAGTTGGATACAGCACAGAAACATGCTGCCCACACATCGCCTGCCTCTGCAAGAAGCTAGCGTTATCAAGGTATGCTAGGTTATTTATGTGGAAACTGTTGTTACGTAGAGAAATACAGTTGTAGGGCGAGTGTAGTTTGCTTACGAAGAAACGCGGTGCTAGGGGTTGCAATAAAAATGTTATAATGGCAGCTACGTACACATTTGTGCACAAGTTGAAAAATTAATTTTGTCATATCCTGACTAACAAATACATTGAAGATTTCTGTCTTCTGGGTTGTTGCGCTGTGTAGTCTGGTCGATGTTTACCAACGTTTCAGAGGTCATACTGCCTCCGTCATCAGGGCGCAACAACCCAGAAGACAGAAGTCTTCATATCACCGCTGTGAAAACCTCAAATCTTGCAGGTCACAGCTTGTTAGTCTGTGAACAGAAAGATCATTATTGCCTTTTAATTGGTTCTAAGTTCATTTTGCTAATTTTAATGAGGTTATAGTATTACTTGGCCACTATTCACATTACGTCAGTGTGCGAAAACTTATTACAGACTGTTCTCTGCTTCGTCTATCCAGGGTGCAATGGCGGCCACGTACCGTGCCATGAGCCAGAGTCCGCGGCCACCACATCTGATGCCTGTGTTCACCTCGGAACTTGCACGACGACGATGGAGGAAATCGCGACCCAAATCTTCTACGGAAGTATGAAGTGATCTTCCTGTCAGTTGGATGCGTAACCGTGTGATTGACTCTGCGTCAAGAGATGGAGTGAAGTCCGTTGCGGCTTTATGATGTGCGTGCGTGAGTGCTCGAGCAAACTAGACTTAAAACTTGCGATTACTTCAAATTTAAGTGATCATGTACTGATTTATAAGTCATTTATTCCAGTGGTCTTTTTTTTTTCATTTTGGCTGTAATAAGAACGTACAAGTAAATGCAGTCTTTAACAGCCATTCTGGAAGAAGAGGTATGAAGCTAGTGAGAAGAAGAAGAATTGAACAGGTAAGAAAGAATTACGTGCATTTCTCTCTCAAGTTATCTTGACTATTACGTCTTTGCTTAGCGAACATTTGCTGAGGAGTCAATATTTTTAAACAACTTATTAATGTTTTTTCTCTAATCCTTGTACAGAATTTGTGCAGGATTTGTCGGATTAAAATGTTGGAATGAAATCACCCGTGTTGTCGATCGTCTACTCTTCAGACTTACTTCATGTCAGTGTTTGATGTGGTACAACAGTGGCGTAAAGACGGGCGCAGTTTCTCAGTAGAGGATACGGATCATTTTGGGAATGGATTTTTTTAATACTGAAGGATTCTTATGTTCACATCATGGGATGCATGAAGAAATTTCCTGCTGTTACATCTTCTTCTTCTTCTATGGCTCTCTGGTCCGTATTCGGTCCATGGACTCCTCAATTCTCCTCTTCCATTCGGTCCTCCGTTAGGTCCGTCTGTCCGAGGCTTTGATTGAGGTTTCGAAACATCTTCCTTGTTACGGTGCGAGGTTGTTAGCCTTGCGACCAACCCCCAACCTGGAGGACCAGGGTACCTGTCTTTTAGTCTGACCTCTCCCTAGGGAGGCCCTACCAGTAGCTCTTCGGGTCACTGAGGTACTCAGGCCCCACCACCACGACAAGGTGCAGGTACCATTAAGTGGGGCTGCGGTTACATCACGCAGTTAAGTGAAGCAGAATTATGTGATTTAATTATTTGCATCCTTTGAGTGCGTATATTTGTGAGTTCTAAACAGAAGTGCTTCCATCTCTTTTATCATACCTGTGACAGAAATTAGAGGAATTTTTAATATTCTTTCTTAAAGTGAAGAGTGAAATGATGAGGTTATATGTTTCGTATTTAATGTCTTCAGGAGCATTGTTTTTCCAGTCGAAGAACTGAAATAGGTTTGTAAAATTTTGTTTCTGTTGGCTCGTATACGATAAATAAACATTGATCGAAGGCCTCGATGAACCTAGCCATGCCGCTAAAACACCCTTAGGTCACAATTTCTAGTTAAAAAAATACAGTGCATGACATGCATATTAATAATAAGAATTACTTAAAGAATATTAAAATAAATAAATAAATATACTAGTTCAACTTGCATAATTGATCGTGCAGCATAAAATTGTGTACACCTGTATTTTGTGTATTTTATTTGAAGTCAAAGTCTGCTTCTTGATAATTAAAAGCACGCGTTTTGTTATAAGATAAGCGGATGTCCAAATGATGAGCGTCAGAATGTCGCTTGCGCGGAACGTGTTCGCGCTTGTAACTGGAGCGTAGGCAATTCTAGACGAAGTAACGAACATCCGTGGGGTCAATCTGCCGCTCTTTGACCTCACTGTGAAATGCAGATTTTAACTTACACTGTTTATTTGGGCATCTGATAATTTGTGTTTCGCTTGTTACATTTGGACGTGTAATGTGATGAAAGTAGAAGAGAACTGGTTAAAGGTCATGTGACGGTTGTACAAAGTATTGTGAATATAGAATTCTCAGTTATTTGAAGTTAGTATTTGTAAGTCATTATGTTTTTAGGACTTCTATGGAGAGAATGTACAAATACAAGCATTTCCAGAAGCAGTTGTACAAAATAAATTAATAAATAGATACATGAGCAGACATACTGTTCTTAGAACAGAAGGATGTTTTTGGTATTAATTATTTCGAAACTATTAATCATGCAGCCCTCTTTCAAAATGAGGAATTTACAGAATCTTTTGAAAAGTGAGGGAACTATAAATTTAAAACACACAGCAAGAATAAAATAAAATATATAAATTATCTTCCGAGGGTGTCTTCGATGTATAATTTTAGTAATTTTGGGCTTTTCAGAATGTCATATACGGAGTCACTGCAGAATTTCAACACAGAATTCGTTATCTTCTCTGTACCAAAGACTTTTATGTTAACAGGAATTATACTTGAAAAAGTATTATGCCCGATGGTATTTGTAGCATCTCAGGATCGTACTTGTGAAAATTACATCTTAGAATCATTTGTGATACTCATTTTCTTCATCTACGTGTACAATGAACAATTCGTATTGACCAGACGTTTTATTTTCAAGGTAGTGAAGGTTTGAAGATTTCTGTCTTCTGGGTTGTTACAACTGCGTAGTCTGGTCGATGTTTACCAACGTTTCAAAGGTCATACTGCCTCCGTCATCAGGGCGATTCATCGATGAAATAATAATTAATATGTGACATGTCATTATCAGCGGTAGAACAGCATGTAAAATAGTGTCATGTGACACTAGAACACTACAGCACTAAAGTACAGAAACAAAAACAACAGCGATGCGACAACAGAATTTCTCTCTACCATATATCAGACTATTCTGTCCTCCTTCCTCAGCTGTCAAGAAATTCCCGTCACTTACGGAACCTGGTTATTTTACTAATATTGGTAAGTTTTAAATTCCATAAATTGCTTCTATTATGGTTTGTTAGTGTCTGAATGTGAACTGAGTCTGTTTTAACCATGACGTCTTGGTTCTTGCTGTTGTGTACAATTTAACAAAATTTCTGCAAGTGTTTATATAGTGATGAAACGAACTTGTGCAAATAAATGTTCAAGAAAAATGTATTTGAGAATCCTTACACTCCCAAATGACTTGTCAGTTCTGTATACCCAGAAGATTGCATTTCTGAAATACTTTTTCTTCTCCCCGAAAAACGTGAACCACGTAACTCTGTGTTGCGCTCTATAGTGATTTCAGACATTCTGTGCACGTGGCCATGCGTAAGCATCTTGTATTATCCTTGTAGTTCTGTACGAATGTTGCTAGTTTTTAGATTACTGTACAATGCCAATCTTTCCTCTATAGACATGTAATGATTTTCTTTACTTAGTTGTGAGAATATGTATACAAATCGTATAATAATGCAGATACTGGAAATAAATATTTTTATGGAACATTTTGTTTGACAACTTTGGCTGGCTTATTTGTTTCGCTGTTGGGTGACCCATGATGCATATTAGTGGCTCGCAATTAAATTTTGTTGCTTCAACCAAATCAATACTGAGTTGATAGAAACCTAGGAATTACGGGAATACTAGAGGGGAAAAAACTATACCAAGATGAATAAAATCAATGGTTGAAGCTCAGTTCCTCTTTTACATCGTAGTAAAGATGCCATTTCTTGAAAACAGCCCTTTCAGGGGCTAACATACTGATTCATAGTTTTAATAACTAATATATGTTTTAGAAAGAAAATGCTTCTAAAGTATGTTTACTTGCAAATAAAATGTCTTTCTAGTCAGATTTTAACATGAAACATTTAAATCAGAATTCCAGTGACAATGCACACTGACATTTTGATACATACGAGGTGCGATCGGAAAGTTTCAAGACTGTGTCAATAGCGGGCGAACCGGATGTAGTACGAGCTTCTGCCGCTAGGGGGTGCGGCCTACATTCATAGTGAATCAGTGTGCCAGCCGGCATCATCGAATTAGCATTTGTTTCTTAGTTACGGGCGTTTTGGTAGTGCATTACACCGACCCTCCTGCGATTTCGGAATGGCGTGGGCATCAAATTTTGCCAAAGACTCGCCAAAACGGCTAAGGAAACCTATGAAATGCTAAAGCAAGCATTTGGGGAGTCCGCAAACTTTTGTGTGGCATTCACGTTTTAAAAATGGCCGAACCGCTGTCGATGATGACAAGCGTTCTGGACGACCATCTTCGAGCACAACGCCCGAAAAAGTTACGAAGAT